TAACTCTGCCTTTCAAACAAAATAAATTTTTTGTCAAAAAGAAGAAAGGAGCATCCTGGGGGATCCCAGTACCCGCCCAGTCTCTGCCGTCTACTTGCCCAGTCGGTCAGCCGTCGTCTCAGCCTCTCTCTCCTGACCACAGTGGTCAGCCATGGCGAAGGCAGCCTGTAGGAAGAAGAAACCATCAGCAGGACCTCGGGCATCGGAGGTCGGCTAGCCTCATACGAAGCCACCACCTCTCGGCCCCCAGGCCGCCCTGCCACACCCTCCTTCACCACGCAGGGCTGGGATCCTTCAACCTGCACTCCTGCCTTCCCCCTGCAAGGCTGGGAGGAGGAGGCCCTTGCTAACCCTACAGGCATGGCCTCAGCATCCTTGTGCCACTGCAGCGCCTTCCTGCAGCAGGCCAGGGATCCAGGTGACAGCTGTGGCAGACACCTGCCAAGGACAGTGTCATCACGGGGCTCTCTTCTCAGAGCTCGGGAGCCCAGGAGCTCTTCAACACCAGGGGCAGCAGCATCTCCTCCTCCAGGGTTGGAATGTCAACTCTGCAGAAGCCTGGCAGCTGTTTCCCTGCCTCGGCTGCCTCCAAAGGCCATTTCATCTGCTCAGTTACATAGTATCTCCTCCCTCTCCCTCTCCCTCTCCCTCTCCCCCTCCCTCTCCCTCTCTCTCTCTCTCTCGCACTGCACCTGGGGGGACCCAAGCTGCTCTCCTTCCCCTGCAACGGGCAGCACACAGAGGAAGTTCTAATCCAGCCGCTCCCTACAGCCAACCAGCCTCTCAGCCTCCAGCACTCACAGGGCCCCTCAGGAAACCCTATTTCCCCCAAGACCTCTAATCATCCCAAGGAACTCAAGCCAGGACTTCCACCCCAGCTGTGCCACGCAGAGGATGATCTCAGCCACACGGCTTTGATCACCCCCTGAGGACTGGAAGAACAGTCGTTCCACCGCCCTTCCACCACATCCAAGACTCGTGCCTGCAGAACTGCACAACGACTTGAATTGAGGTGCCCCTTCTCTTCCTCTAAGTATCAACTGCCCTTGGCCTCTGTTCCAATCTCCATTCTCCCCAGCCTTGCCCAGGTGTAACGGTTTGATTCCACCTGCTGTGATAACTGCTGTTCAAGGTTGTACCCACACACTCCGCCCAGGCCAAGCTCACAGGGTTGATCAACCGCCTGCTCAGGGGCTCCCGCAGCCCTCCACTGGCCAGCACCAAAGTAGCCGTGACGTTCACACCTTCCCCCCACTCTGCTGCCCGAGCTCCAAGCCATTTATTAATTTGCCCCACATTCCGCCAGCCTCTCACCTGCGAGAGCCAATGCACAATGCTGCCTGCCCGCCCTGAATTACCTCCAGCCTACAAGCACGGCCACGGGGCCCTCATCTCTGCTTAAGACCCACCCTTCAGGTCCCCGCACCTCATTCACCAGACCCAAGCACGATGCTCTCATGCGCTGCAGACAGCCCTAACCCAGGAGCTTCCACATCTCTTCCAAGCAGCCTGACCGTGAACACCGGCAGGCCAGGAGCTGGCCGCACACCTGAAAACAAGTTTCTAGAAACCCAGCGTCAAACCCGGCCTCCGGGTTTCGGTTAACAAGACAGCACATGTGACATCATTCAGCTGTGGATAGCCAGGGACCCTGAAGGCGAAGCCCCTCTCCTCGCAGCCCCTCACCTGGCCCCGGCCCAGGTCCCCAGCAGCGGGGCCCAGTTCTCGGTCCCCACCATCACCTCCCATTTAGCAGGTACGCAGCTGCGCCCGACACAGCCTCGGACAGTCCGCCGCGCCCACCCACGCCCTCCGGCTTCCCCGCCCAGCAGCCCCTCGGCCGGCCGTTTCTAGCTCCAGCGCGCGAGCCCAAACGGTGCTCCGCGCTCGAGACGCGCCCCGCGAGGCGCAGCCGGAGCTTCGCGCCCCGCGAGCGGTCCCGCCCCATGAGCTCCGCAACTTCCCGCACCGGGGCTCGGGGGCCGAGGGGCGGGCTGCAGGTGGTGGCGGCGCTCACCTCCCGGCTGCAGGGCGCCTGCAGCGCGCTCGACAACGGCGGGCCCCGAGGCAGCTCCGGGGCGCCCGGCGCGCGGGCCCCGGCGGCCTGAGGGTCCATGCCGAGTGGCCCGGGGCACGGCGCGCTGGATGCGGCGCGGCCACGTGATGCGCCAGCCTGGCTGCCAGCCCGAGGATACGCCGCGGAGGGGCCAATCAGCCCGGGTGCTCCCGGCCGCGGAGGCGGGACACCGGGTCACGAGGACGCCGGGGGCGGAGCGCGGCCACCACACAGCCCCCCGTCTCGCCGGCGTGGAACCCAGCCAAGGTGGAGTACCGCTTCTAGCTGCCCGCGAGACGATCTGACTGAGCACGGCTGTGTGCTCAGCTCCAAGACTCCATCTCCCGTTAGAACCTGAGGACCCGAGCAGCCCAGCCAGCGTCTAGAAGCCCAGCCTTCAAAACTTTGAATGCAGCTGACGCTCTGGCCACGTCCCACCCCTTTTTCTCTTAAAAGTTTTCTATGGAATTCAGTATGGAATTGGACTCTGGCAACCCAGCAGCCAGTGATGCCCCAGCTCTAGCTTCTGGTACATTCAGACCCGAGCTCTGATCCTTCCACCAGCTAGAGGTGTGATCTGCCTTCCCCTGGGCCCCCTTTCGCCTCTAAGGACCTGCAGCGGCGCTGCCAAGCAGCAGGGCCTGAGCCGGACATCACCTGACTGGACAGACGGCCTTCACTGCCTTCCACCAACTCCAGGAGTTATGATCCTGTGCTAACATTAAGGGTCAAAAAAGCCAGGATGCGATTCCTTGCTCTCCAGAAAACCTCTCAGGACACCACAGTGCCGCAAAAAGCTGACATTAACAGTCAACGCTTGGGCCAGAAACCTCCTCCAAATGGGATTCTCCTCGGTAATTTATTTGAAAGGCAGTGATGACGGGAGGAAAGGGAGAGGAGAAAGAAAACCTTCCATGTGCCCAGATGCGAACGGCAGCCAGGGCAGGAGCCAGGAAGCCAGCCATCAAGGTCTTCACCTTGGGTGGCAAGGACCCCAGAACTGGCGCCACCACCTGCTGCTCCCAGGGCAGACGCTCCAGTGTGAGAGGTGGGTGTCCAGTCCGCGGTTTGACCCACTCGACCACAAAGCTGACCCCAGGGATGTGCTCAGTTCTGCTGCCCCATGAGGCAGTTTACCCAAATCTGTCTGGCCTCCATTTAGCACTGCCCAAGGCTCCCACTTAATGACAAAAAAGCAGCTTTATAATCCATGCCGTGCAATATGCCATGCGTGTGGCTGTGGTGCACTTGAAATGGGGTCAGTGTGAATGAGAAGCTGATTTAATCTTAATGTAAAATTTGCTGTGACAATGCCATGTAAATGACCTAGGCTGGGTGTGCTTCCCTGACATATTTTAACAGTGAGCGTCTGGAGTGTTTCCTTCTCATGACTTAACAGGAAAATAGGTGCCTCTTATTCTAAAACAAATGACATGGTGCTAGCACGGTAGCATAGCAGGTAAAGCTGCCATATGTGATGCCAGCATGCTTCAGTTTCCCCCTGATGTGTCTGAAAAAGCAGTGGAAGATGGACCAAGTGCTTGTGCACCAGCCACCGCATGGGAACAAGAGATAAAACTCCTGGCTTCAGTCTGGCCAAGCTCTGGTTGTTGCGGCCATCTGGAAGGTGACCTGGGGGAAAGAAACTCAATCTCCTTTTTTTTCAATAAACATATTAAGTGACATGTAAATACTTGGAATGTAAAAGTTAAAAAAAATGTCAAGACTGATATTGGCACCAGCACTATGGCAGGGCATGTTAGCTGCCCTCTGTGACACCGGCATCCCATTTGGGTGCCAGTATGAGACCAACCAGCTGCACTTCTGATCCAGCTCCCTGCTAATGCTCCTGGGAGAGAAGTGGAACATAGACCAAATGCTTATGCCATGCCTGTGTAAGACCCTCCTGGCACAGCTTTGACTGCAGCGGCCATTTGAGAAGCAAATCAACACATCGAAGATCTCTCTATAATTCTCCCTTTCAAAAAAAAGTGTCTAATAATCCAACAATTTAAGGTAATAAAGGAAACCTCTTAAGTCAGGAGAGTAGCCACGAGCATGATGGTTCAACTGGTTAATCCTCCACCACCAACCACAGGATCCCATACGGGTGCTGGGTCATGTGCTGGCGGCCCACTTGCCATCCAGCTCCCTGCCTGTGGCCTGGGAAAACAGCCCAGTACGGCCCAGAGCTTTGGGACCCTGCACCCGCGTGGGAGACCAGGAAGAAGCTCCTGGCTTCGGATCAGCTCAGCTCTGGGCATTGAAGGAGTGAACCAGTGGAGAGATCTTTATCTCAGTCTTTCTGTAAACTTCTTTCCAACAAAAATAAAAGTTTAAAAACAAATCTCGGAATGAAAAAAGGCGAATGCTGGAAAACTTAAATGCTTGGGAGGACAATAGGGTTTGTCCTCTGCACGATGGGCTTCCAAAAATATTGAAAATTGAGAGGAAGCACACACACACACAACTTGAAGCTACTATTTACAACAAATCACAAGCAAGCAAAATATTTTTAATATATAAAATCTTATAAAATAGGAAGAAAAAATTAATAAGTCTATGAATGTGAATAGACACACAAAAAGCACACTGATTTGATCCATATTATAAACAATGCCATATCGGGCCCGGCAGCATGCCTAGTGGCTGAAGTCCTTGCCTTGAATACGCCAGGATACCATATGGGCGCTGGTTCTAATCCCGGCAGCTCCACTTTCCATCCAGCTCCCTGCTTGTGGTCTGGGAAAGCAGTCAAGGATGGCCCAAAGCTTTGGGACCCTGCACCCGTGTGGGAGATCTGGAGGAGGTTCCTGGCTCCTGGCTCCAGACCAGCACAGCACCAGCTGCTGCAGTCACTTGGGAAGTGAATCATCGGATGGAAGATTTTCCTCTCTCTCCTCCTCTATGTATATCTGACTTGGTAATAAAAAAAATAAATAAATAAATCAGACCTATGGTAGGTCTGATTTCAACAAATAATCATGAAACCAGCAGTTCTCTTTTCTGGAATCAAAAACAAATACATAAAAACTTAAAACATGTCTCAAGATCATCCTGTCTGCCACTGTGAACATGTTACAGGCAGATTCACAATGCAGTCTGCCCAGGGAGTTTCAAGTATGACATCACAAAACTGGCTGTGACATCATCACTAATGGCCAGCCTGGTGCATGGCGTGCTTAGCTACAAACAACTCTGCAGACTCCCCCTGCAACATTTTCATGGCCCGCCAATAGATCTGTCCACAGTTCTCAGGTCTGCCAAGAGGGTGCTTCAATTCCTCCTTGATGTAATCCATCCAAAGATCTTTAAAAAATGAAAAGAAAAAAAAAATTATTGTATATGTAGACAGCTTTCAAGACTTAAGAAAAAGTTACTTAAGAACAGCACATGATTTCTAAGAAAGTTCCCTTCTTGCCATTATCTTCTTTGAATCATATCAAACGGCAACTCTCCTGAAACTTCCTTATACTACGGCCCAGCAAAGGCTTGCTTATTGTTTTATTTTTTTTATAAATATTTATTTATTTTTTTATTGGAAAGTCAGATTTAGACAGAAGAGACAAAGATCTTCTGTCTGATAGTTCACTCCCCAAGTGGCCACCACAGCGAGAGCTGAATCAATCCAAAGCCAGAGCTTCTTCTGGGTCTCCCATGCGGGTGCAGGGTCCAAAGGCTTTGGGCCATGCTCTACTGTTCTCCCAGGCCACAAGCAGGGAGCTGGAAGGAAAGTGGAGCAGCTGGGACATGAATCAACACACACATGGGATCTCAGCACATGCAAGGCAGGAATTTCCACTGAGCCACTGCATTGTGCCAGGCCCAGAAGGTTTGCTTTTTAGAAAGAAAACCCTCACAGCAATGCTAACATCCTATGTCACTCAATTAACTTAAAAATCCTAAATTCTGGACCTGGCACAGTAGCATAGTGGCTAAAAGTCCTCATCTTGCATGTGCCAGGATCCCATACAGGTGCCAGTAAATGTAGAGATGGCCCAAAGCCTTGGGACCCTGCACCTGCGTGGGAGACCCGGAAGAAGTTCCTGGCTCCTAGCTTCAAATCAGCACAGCAACGGCCATTGTGGTCACTTAGGGAGTGAATCATCGGACAGAAGATCCTCCTCTCTCTTCTCCTCCCTGTATGTCTGGCTTTGCAATAAAAATAAATAAAATCTTAAAGAAAAAAGAAAATCCTAAATTTTTACATGGAGAATTCTACTGAGTTTTCTCTCAAGGTGAAATCAACCTCAAAGAATTCATCATAACCTTATTGCTTATTTAAATTTTCAAAGATAGCAAAAAATGACACTTTTTCTAATTCATTTGGCTAGGAAAGGTTTCCTGAAAAGTCAGTGGAAACTAATGTATTTTTCAACATTCACTTAAGGACCATCCATGCAGGCATTTGGTAATTCATAAATAAAACTCTCAGGCTGCACACCCATCCCCCAAAGCATGCTGTGCAATTTCTACACATAAGGGCAACCCATGGACATCCAAGGAGAGCAAATGCCAAGTAGCATCCCAAATTTACCTCAGGTTTAACTCCTGCTCCTTTTGGTTCTGATCTGAATCATTAATTCTTTCCTTAAAAATATAGTTTTTCTATAATCCATGCACCCCTGGGCCTGTGACCTTGAAATTATAAGCCAAACTCTGGTATGTATGTACTTATGCAAAATGCAAGAATGGAAACAGGAGAAAGTTTAGGAAAAAAAACCTGTGTTAACCATACTGCACATGAACTCATGTATATATCCCAAGTTTACTTACCAGAATCTGTAGATCCAAACTCTCTCAAAGCTCTCTCATAAAACTCTCTTAAATTTGCCATCTTGCAGGATTCCTAACAAGAATAATCAGACAATCTTGCTCAAAAACCAACTTATAATGTCGGAAATTCATTTCAACCATTTCATCAGCTAGTATCAATTAGGTATTTGACAGGGAAAACCAAAGATGAACATAGCCTGGCTCTCAACTTATTCAGAATAAAGCCAAATACACAACGATTATAAATGTCAAACATAAAAACGCTTTGTTCTGATAACACGAAGAAAAAAAATCTCATGAATTCTCAGTGGGAGAACATGAGTAGGACAGTTTCTAAAAGCCACAAGGAACAAGCAGGAGTCAGATTAACAAATAAATGAGGCATGGCCATGCATGCCTCTCAACTATGTAAACATCATAAAAAACAAAACATATTATTAAGACAAATTAATTCTTAGAAATGGACAAATAGATGAGGGAGAAGGTTCTACTCTATGATAACGGGCTTCTTCTGAGTCCCAGGCGCTGACGTGCACTGGTGTACGCCTACAAGTTACACGCCCTCCAGCAAGCGTGGAGAATCCTCGGGCCTTGGGCATTTCCTCATCCGTACAACAGAGATCACGCCCCCAGCATCCTGTGGTCTTCCCACTCACCAGGCATCACACGGAGTGCCTGCCAAGGAGCCTAGCAGCAGCACCTCACAGCCTGGCAGGCAGGGCTGCTGCGAACAACAGACACTGGAGTTCTCCAGGCTCCAGAGCCCTGCCCGCACCTCTCCCACCCCTATTCCTAATCCAACTCTGCAACCAGGGGACCAGAAATGTCTAGTTTTACGAAAGCCTTCTCAGTAATAAAACATTGCCATAGATAACCAGTACTCCATTTCCACAGAAAATAAACACTTAATACACAACACTCACTTGCTCCTTTTCAAACTGGATCATTTTCCTGAAAAAATCAACTGAAAATGGACGGTTTTCCTGTAAACTGAGAGAGAAAGGGCAATTATGACCATGTCAGAAAACCCCAACGCTCAACATTATGTGATAAATAGAAATTTGCCACACACTGGTCACTCCCCAAACAGCTGAAACAGCTGGGGCTGGGCCAGGCAAGCCAGGAGCCAGATACAAGTGTAAGAACATGACAACACTCCCTTCCTCCCTCCCACCTCACTCACTGATCACTTCTTTAAGATGTTTGGTGGGGGGCCCAGTGGCATGGCCTAGCGGCTAAAAGTCCTCGCCTTGAACGTGCCAGGATCCCATATGGGCGCCGGTTCTAATCCCGGCGGCCCTGCTTCCCTTCCAGCTCCCTGCCTGTGGCCCGGGAAAGCAGTCGAGGACGGCCCAAAGCCTTGGGACCCTGCACTCATGTGGGAGACCCGGAAGAGGTTCCTGGTTCCCAGCTTTAGATCGGCATAGTACTGGCCATTGCGCTTACTTGAGGAGTGAATCACCAGACAGAAGACCTTCCTCTCTCTCTCCTCTTCTCTGTATATCTAACTTCATAATGAAAAATAAATAACTCTTTAAAAAAAAAAAAAGACGCTTGGTGGGGCCCAGCACAATAGTGTAATGGTTAAGGTCCTCATCTTGAACGCGCCAGGATCCCATACAGGCGCCGGTTCTAACCCTGGCAGCCCTGCTTCCCATCCAGCTCCCTGCTTGTGGCCTGGGAAAGCAGTCGAGGACAGCCGAAAGCCTTGGGACCCTGAACCTGTGTGGAGACCTGGAAGGAAGTTCCTGGCTCCTGGCTTTGGATTGACACAGCAGCAGCTGTTGCAGTTTACTTGGGGAGTGAATCATCGGACGGATGATCTCCCTCTCTATCTCTCTTCCTCTCTGTTATATCCGCCTTTCCAATAAAATAAATAAATCTTAAAAAAAAAAAAAAAAACGACGTTTAGTGGAGGACAATAATTCTGTATTTAGGACTATATTCTACTAAATCAGTTTCTAGTATGAACTTTTCCAATCACAAATCTAATTTCCAACAGTAGAAATGTGCAGAAATGTTCACAAAGCCAGAGTAACCAAGGCACATCTCTAAGGCAGCAGCAGGGCAGGTGTCTGACCTGGTGCTAAGATGCTAGACAACAATACCAACTTCCCACACCACAGTAACAGGTCTGGTGTCCAGTTCCAGCGCCTAACTCTAACTTTTTACTAACAAAGACCTAAGGTGGCAGCAGTGAGGGTTCAGGTCTCTGAGTTCCTAGCCTTGAAGACCTGGACTGAATTCCTAGCTCAAATACCAGCTCATTCTCTTTGGCTCCCTCTTCATCTGCCTAAATTTTAAGTAAAATCCTAAAATACATACATAATATAAATCATACAGCTGTTTTTAATATACATGTATGAAGAAGCTTTACTAAAGATGGGAAAGACCAGTCTACTTTTCAATAAACTTGCAGTTACAGTATAAGCTCAATTACATAAAAAATAAATGTGGGGGTCAGCATTAAGCTGTTACCTGCAATGTTGTTATCCCATATGAGTACCGATTCAAATCCCAGCTGCTCCCCTTCAATCCAGCTTTATGCTAATGTGCATAGGAAAGCAGCAGCAGATGGCCCAAGTGCTTTGGTCCCCGGCTCCACATGGGAGACCTGGATGGATCTCCTGGCACCTGGCTCCCATCTGGCCCAACTCTAGCCACAGTCATCTTAGGAATCAAGCAGTAGTTGGAAGATACCTCCCTCTTTCAGACACACACTACCTTTCAAATAAAGAATTTTTTTAATTAAAATGATACATCAACAATGGTTTTTATCTTGATGATAGGATTACAATGAGTTGTGAATGCCCCCCCCAGCCGTATGAACAGTATGAACTACTGTTACTGTTCAAGAAAAGAGAAAGAAAAAGCACTACTTTCTGAAAAACCTCCCATGGATTCTTTGCTCAGATACAATTTGTGACCCCTGAACCCAGTGCAATAGCTTAGCGGCAATACCTTACCTTGAACATGCTGGGATACCATTTGGGTGCCAGTCCTTATCCCGGCAACCCCACTTCCCATCCAGCTCCCTGATTGTGGCCTGGGAAAGCAGTCAAGGATGGCCCAAAGCCTTGGGACCCTGCATCTACATGGGAGACCAGAAGAAGTTCCTGGCTCCTGGCTTTGGACTGGCTCAGCTCCTGCTGTTGCAGCCACTTGGGGAGTGAACCATCGGACAAAGATCTTTCTGTCTCTCCTCCTTTTTGTATATCTATCTACTTTTCCAATAAAAATAAATAAATCTTAAAACACACACGCACACACACACACACACACAATTTGTGATTTGTGACCCTTAAAATCTGGGGACTAGGAGTTGAATGTGGGTTGGATACACTGGCAGCAGCTAAGAACACCTATGATTACCTTTTAAACACAGCTCTGGCCTTCTTGTAGCCGCCACTTCGATAAGCCCAATCTAGGTACTTCTCCTTTAGAGGTACCGAGTCAGGACCCATGACAGCTGAGACAGCTTTCTACAATTCAAAAGAAAAAAGAAATCAAGTATGTGAGGAAATCTACAGCTATTAGGACAAAACACCGCAGGCCGCTCAACGGGGCTGCAGGAGTACACGCCATTAATACAACCCAAAAGTTAGACAGCCAATGAACCCCTACGTACTCCCCACACCACTAGCCAGGGAACCTGACAAAGCCAGTACCTTAAAGACTGCTTCAGTGTCCTCTTGGCTTTTGGCACCTTCACTCCACTCTGCCCAAGATACCCACAACGGGACACAGGCCTGTTCACAAAAACAAAAAATTTTAACATAAAGAAAGAAAAGCTGAATGCTAAACTCTGAAAACCAACCTCTCTCTTGGAAAGTTCCTGTAAGATAAATCAACCTGTAAAATACTGATTCACTCCCAGTCTACCCACACCATGAAAGAATGTCCACTGTGCTGCAGGAATGGCCTGCCAGAGCACAGCAGCCCTCTGAGACTTGGCCACCACTGCAGGACCCTCCTACTAAAGGCAGCTCCCTGCCGCCGGGCACTCCTGCCTGGAATTATCACAGACCAGCTTTGTACTAACTCAGCAACCAAGAGACCACAGCAAAGCAGCTCGGGTCCCTCCCATGACCCACAACAAAAGGAAGAACTAACCTCAGCTGAGATATCTGTTACTCAAGTATAACACACAGGGGAAGCAGGAGAAGATATTTTTCTTCCCACTTCACGTTCTGGATTTTATCTTTCCTACTAAAATATTCACTGCAAGTTTTAAGGTTTAGCTTTGCAAACTTCAAGGGTTGGTATCGTGGCACAGTGAATTGGGCCAACACATACAAAGTTGGCATCCCATATGAATAGCAGTTCAAGTCCTGAATGCTCCACTTCTGATCCAGCTCCTTCCTAATACACCTGGGAAACAACTGAAAACGGTTCAAGTGCTTGGGCCCCTGTCACCCATGGAGAGACCCAGATGGAACTTTAGGCTTCTGGCTTCAGCTCCACCCACCCAGTCCTGGCTGTTGTGGTCATCTGGCCATCTGTGGAAATTAACCAGCAGACAGAAATCAGGAGACAGAGCTGGCTATTCCACTTCCAATCAAGCTCCCTACTTATGGTCTGGGACAGCAGGGAATAGCAGGCTAGCCAAGGTCATGGGGCCCCACATCCATGTGGAAGACCTGGAGGAAGTTCCTGGTGAGCCACATAGAATAGCCACAAAGACCAACTCACTGACCTGGGGTTTCAGATGCAGAAAGGCTTCTTCAACAAGCTCGGCCACAGCAGGGTTCTCCGAGTCGATCAGCACCTGTAGCCTCATCTGCCACATGGTCCCAGAGTCCTTCAACAATTCCGTCCCGGCTACTGCTACTTCCAGTGCTTCCCTGAACAACTTACGGTGCAACAACAACTCAATCTAGGTAAGACAAAGGATTAGCAAAAAATTAACTGCTAACTCTAAACTATTACATCAATGGGAACAAACACAAGTCATCTACAAATCTAAGAGAATCATTTCAACATTTCCACTAAACCTTTTCCCTCAGTGAACAATCTAGAATCCCTGTTCTCATGCACAGGGCCCATGAAAACCAGGGAAGGGGCACCAACACTGTGGCACACCACAGTAAGCCACAATGTCCACTAGAATGCTGGGCTGAGCCCTGGCCACTCTACTTCCCATCCAGCTCCCTGCTAAGTGTCTGGGGAAAGCAGCAAAGGACGACCCAAGCGCTGGAGCCCCTGCTATCCATGTGAGAGACTGGGATGGGTCAACAAATGAAGATCATTCCGTCTCTCCTCTCTGTAAATCTGACTTTCCAATAAAAATAAATACATCTTTAAAAAAAAATCCAAACTATTTCAGCAGGGGTAGGTGGTGGTATTGAAAGTGATTTCAATTTTGTGAAAACTGTGAAAAAGCAAGTGAGTCGTAGTAAATAATCAGCATGTTTATTACAGACTGATATATGCCATGACAGATGAAGAACCACTGCCCCAGAAGTAGCACTTAGAATCAGTGACGAGAAAGAACTCCCATAAAGGAAGCATTTCAGCTAAGATCAAGGAGGAACAGGCACTGCCACGGCAAGTAGAGACTGCCCCCTTCCCCACTAGCAAAGCAGACGTTTCTCTCAACAAGCAGGGGTCAGAGACAGAAGATTAATGACATCTCGGATGCAGAAAACAATTTAAGTTCAGAATGGCTACAGAGGGGATGCTGAAGACCTGGAAGGTGAGATGGGAAATCCAGCTGGGGCCAGTTGCAGCATGGGAGCAGCTTTATCCAAAGGTCAGTGGGACACAACAGTGCCATCTGACAATTTTAAAAGACCAGCTGTGAAGAACCTGGAAAAAGTATGGGTATAGATTCAGCACAGTTCTGAAGTTGGTTTATCAGCATCTTGATGGACTCGACCTGAAAGCCAAGTGAGCAAATGGGTGCTGAGGTGACAGGATAAGGAAAGGCAGCTCCACAGACGAGCTTGGGATGCTTGAAATGGGTACACATCTGAATGGCAGAACATGACACTGTAAGGAGAGCAGGACTTCCAGGGAACACGCATTGATCTTAACCTACAGGAGCAACAAATTCACCAGCTCTGAGGAAAATAGACAAGACGATCCAGACTGCGATTTTCCCAGACAGACCACAACAGGACCAACGTCTTGGTCCTTATCTCATAGTCTTGACATAATAATATAATAGCTACTTCAATATAGTAATGTGTATCATGTGGACATGCATAAAAATGAATGAGTGTTAATGCAAAACAAGGACAATACAGAATGGAATGCAAAATAAAAAGATAATAATTGTAATTGTGTGAAAATTATTTGAATCAAGAGGCTGGAGAAAATAAAACATACTCAACAAATAAAAGGTGGATGTTTTGGCAAACAAGCTAAGCTGCCATACAGGACGCCAGCATCCCGTATCAGGATCCTTTTGGTTTAAGAACCAGCTACTCTACCATTCCAATCCAGTCTACTGCTGACATGTGAAAGCAGAAGCCTCAATCCCTGTCTGCCAACCGGGAGACCTGGATGGGGCCCTGGCCTCTGGCTTTCATCTGGCCTAGCCTAGCTGCTCTGCTCCAGGGATCTGCGGAACGCACCAGCAGATGGAAGATCTGTCTCCACCTCTCCTTGTCCCTCTACCTTTCAAATAAATAAACCTTTAAATAAATACACACACACACAGGTTCCTATCCTTTCCTCAATGAGGGTATTTAAATGAATTAACACGTTCACATGTATTCCCTCAACAACACTGGAAGTTAACAAGAGCAAAAATCATTATTGCTACTTCATTTTTTATTTCTTTTTAAAGATTTACCTTATTTATTTGAAAAGTTTTCTTAGAGAAACAGCAAGATCTTCCATCTACTGGTTCACTCCCCAAATAGCTACATCAGCCATGGCTGCAGCAAGCCAAGGCCAGGAGCTTCCTCTAGGTCTCCTACACGGATGCAGAGGCCAATGCTTTCCCACGTCACAGGAGAGAGCCGGATTGGAAAGGGTGCAGCCGGGACTCAAGCAGACACCTATATGGGGAAACGGCACCAGCAGAGGCTTTACCTGCTAACCCACTGCACCAGCCCCTGTTCCACTTCCAATTCAGCTCCCTGGCACCATGCCACGGAAAGCAGAGGATGCTGACCTCTGCACCCATGTGGGAGACCTGGAAGAAATCCTTGCTGCTGCATGGCCATTTGCAGAGTGAACCAGCAGAGGGAAAACCCTTCTATTTCTCCCTCTCTTTCTCAAATAAATAAAATAAAGCTTAGAGTAACAGTAATAATATTCTTCCCTTTACTAGTACAGGTGTCACGTTAGCCACGCACTGAGTACTGACAGTCAAACATAAACATCCTCTACACACCCATCTCCTGAATGGGCCTCACCACAGGAAGAATACACTTACCACAACAGGCATACTAACACAAAGCAGCTAGAACACAGCACCTGTCACCAGCACTGACCATGTTCCCACGTCCTTACCCACTGCTTGTACTGGGATTCTGACAGCAGCTTGAGTCCATGTGCCGTCCTGAAGGCAGCCATGGTTCTTTCCAGCCTCTGCAATCAGAAAAACCCTTCAGTTCATTACAAGGACACCAACAAGGGCCGCTGATCTCCAACACAAACAAATACAGTTTTGTGTATTTCTGAGAGTTCAGGAGGCAACTGAGTTACTTTCACAGGTGCTTTCACAAGTCAGACATATAGATACAATCTAGTGAGCAGAGAGCCCCTTCTGTCTAGAGGCCTGGAGACCCTACAAGCAGGAATCAAACCCAGACCTTCAAAATGACAGACACCAAAGGACAGAGTGGCTAAGCAGTAAACAAGAGAGTACACTTGCAGAAACTGCCCCAGACCTCAAGAGAGCTGTACTTCTGCCCCTGCTTCACAGGAGAGTCACCTGCTAGTAAGTCACTATGACCATGTGACTTAAGTCCTACCTTCTCTCGGAGAAACACACTGCTTGTCTTCTTAGAAAATCTTTCCAAGCAAAAGTTGATATAACATTTCCACATGGCCTCTGGAAAAGTGAGGGTTCATCGTGATCAGAACAATTCAATAATCACTGTACAGCTTTTCTGCCACAGGCAGTTTGTACAAAATAAGAACTATGACTTGATAAAGAAGAGCAGGGCAGACCGTGTCTGGAATCTTGAATTCAGACTGTTGGTGCCGCAGACAGAGATCAAACTCTGTGGTGGAGGTGCACGGGTGAGGGTCCACAGCTGGGCAACAGTCCAAGGCCGCAGAAGTGTGTGCCTGAGACAGTCACATGCTGACTTCTGTACCCGGCCATGCTGCTCGCTGATCACCAAGCAATGGCTGGCAATATATCAAAGCATGTGCCACATCATGTCCTATTATCTGACTCTCCAACCAGAACAATGAAAGAATGAGGCAGCCAGCCACCTAGGCCCACCCGGTCCTCACAGACGGGCTTCTCTCCGGACACCTGCTTTTGTGAGCTTTATCTCAGGTCCGTCTCAATTGTACATCATCTACATCACATCCTGCTCACCACAGTATTCTCTTCAGAAAGAAAACTTCTATGAAGGAGTTAAGAAATCAAACAGAAATTTCACTCTAATCACATTGAAACACTTCAAACATTAGGGACAAAATTACCAAAAGATAAATATGAAAATCAAAAGCTTTATTTGGGTTCTATATGCTGTGGATTTTATTTTCCACTATTAGCAATTTTTTAAAATGAAATATCTTGTTTTTAAGATGTATTTATTTTTATTTGAAAGGCAGATTTGCAGAGAGAAAAAAATCTTCAATTAGTTGCTTCACTCTCCAAATTGCTGACACGGCCAGAGCCGGCTGGTCCAAAGCCAAGAGCCAGGAGTTTCCTCGAAGTTTCCCACATGGGTGCAAGGGTCCAAGTACCTGGGTCATCTTTTTGTTTTCCCAGACATATCAGCAGGAAGCTAGATGGGACTGGAGCAGCCAGGACTTGAACCAGTGCCCACATAGGACACGGGCACCACAGCCAGAGGCTTAACAAACACCACAGCACCCCAAAATGAAATTTCCATCAAAAAGATAGTTAAACAGATCAAAAGAATAACCCTCCATCTTGCATGCAGGCATCCCATGTGGGAGCTGGTTTGTGACCCAGCTGCTCCGCCTCTGATCCAGCTCCCGGCTTAAGGCTTGGGAAAACAGTGGAGGATAAGCCAGGTTTTATTCTACTTTGTTTTAAGATTTTTTTTTTTTTTATTGGAAAGGCAGATGTACAGAGAGGAGATAGACAGAAAGATCCTGGGTCCACTGGTTCACTCTCCAAGTACCCGCAATGGCTGAGACTGAGCCAATCCAAAGCCAGGAGCCAGAAGCTTCTTCTGGTCTCCCACAGGCTTTGGGCTGTCCTCTACTCCTTTCCCAGGCCACAAGCAGGGAGCTGGAAGAAAAGTAGAGTAGCTGGGACATGAACAGGTCCTCATATGAGATCCCAGGAGATGCAAGGCGAGGATTTAGCCTATTATGCCTAGCCCAGCCCAAGTTTTTAGGACCCTGCACCCACATGGGAGTCTTGAAGGAAGCTTCTGGCTCCTAACTTCAGATCAAGTCAACTCCAGCCACTAGAAAGTGAGCCAGCAAATGGCAAATATGTTTCTGGCTCTCCTCTCTGCAAATCTTTCCTCTGTCAGGATGTAGTCCCTGCAGGTGAGCACAAAAACCAAGTCTGGGAGCATCCTAGGCTAGGCCAGTTCATAACACCCACCGGCAGATCTGAGAACCAGGACATAGTTTAAGACAGGCCAGGTCGGGCCACAACATCTGCCAGTTCACATTAGACTGGGGGCTGGCTGGGCTAGGCTGCAATATCCACAAGCACGAGCTGGAACTGGCACAAACCTGGAAGGGCCAGGCCCTAGCACCCATAGGCAAATGCTGAAGTAAGGCAGGCCAGGCCAGACTGGGCCACAGCACCCACCAGTACTTGTGAGACCTGGGTGTAGGGGTGCAAACCTGATAGAGGGCTTCCCAGCTAAGCCACTGCTCCCGCTGATAAGCATGAGAACTGGGATTGGAGGTAGATCAGGCCAAGCAGGGTTAAAACACCCATTGGCCTGCATACGAGATGTATTAGGAGTTAGGATGGACTAATCGGTACCCACTGGTGCTAGCATGAGCCAGAGTAAATGCAGGCTGGTTTGGCTTTGCTGCAGCACCAGCTGGCAAGTACTGGGTCTGGGGGCAAACCCTGTCAAGCTAGACTGCAGAACCACTTGGAAAGTGCCAGGAATAGGAGTAGGTCCAGTAGAGAAGCTGTGGGTACCTTTCTGATGGTACAACTCCTACTGGTGAGCATAAGAACCAGGACTAGGGGCGGGTCTCGCCAGACAAGCGAGACACCTGCCAGCATGAGTACAGGCTGAATAATGGGATCATTTGGGTTCAGCTAAGCTCTAATGCCCATTGATGTATTTGAGAGCTGAATGGGATGTAAGACAGACTGAACCAGTCTACTGTATGTACTGGCAAGCACAAGAACCAGGGCTGGGGGTAGGTCTGGTGGGGGTTACTGGAGGTAACTAGGCTAGGCTACAGTTTCCACTGGTATACATGAGGGTCAAATGTGTAGTGGACTGGGTTGGGCTGGGCCATAGTTTCCAGTAGTTTGCAAAATAGATGGGGCTGGAGACAGAATTGCATGTGTCATAACTGGGCATCCTTAGTGGCTAAGATGGAGCAGTGGTCTGCATGCCCAGACGCACATGGAGGATATGGCATTCCACTGGGGTCTGCAGAGAAAATTTAGTACCAAAGCAGATGAAGGAGGGCAGAACAAACTGGACAACTACCCCAGCTAACCATTTACAGCAAATATCTAGGCGAATGGAGAACTCTAAGTTGGACTGTCAGCCAATAGACCTTGGAAGGATTTCCTCATGCTCGGAGCGGCAAGATCGGCAACATTTCAGAACTATCAGACCACTCAAGCAAAACCCTCAGAGCACTCCCCATCGGGGCTCTGAGATGGCATCAGGTGGCCATTTCCCATCCCCAGGTACTGAGGTGGGTAGGAGGCTGGGTATGGCCCCCTCCCTGTCTCCTCCCTTCCCCCAGACACAGAAGGAAGAAAAAGAAAATGAAGAAACAATGGTTTCACCCAATTCGCCCTGACCCTCTCTCACTCTGATCAACTATGTAAACATCATTAAAAAAAAAAAAAAAAGACAGTGAACAAGTAATAAAAGCCAATGTTGCAGCACAGTAGTTTAAACTGCCACCATGTCAGAGCGTGGACACCTGGAAGGCAGTAGATGATGGCTCCAGTACCTGGGCCCGACGATGCAATGCAGCACTCCAAGGTGGGAGCTGAAGGCTTCTGATGCCAGCCTGGCCCATCCTAAGCAGCTTGGCCACTCAGCGAGCAAAGAGATAGACAGACAATCTCTGTCTTTCCCTTACTGTCAGTCTTTCAAATAAATCTTTTAAAAATAGTAAAAAAGTCTTCTGCATAATTTCCCAAATAAATATGGTTATTACTGAGGAAGGTTCCAGAAGCGCCAACATTCACCATCACAGGAAGAACAAGGCACACAACGCAGGCACACACAAAGCACTGCACTACACGAAGATTCCTAACAGATCTGGGAAATGCCCAGGGAAGCTTCGGGTCACGCTCATGGGCTATTCCTCTGCCCCACACCATGGCCACAGCTCACCTGTAGGCAGCGTCTTCACAGCCTCCTCGTAGACTGCACTGCACCTGTCTTCCCTCTGGCCCATCTCTGCAGCTTTGGCTGACTTCGCTGTGGGCTGTTCTTCTCCTGGCTTTGACTCAATCTCTAATTCCCGTCGCGCTACATAATCCCAAGTCAGTGGGTCATCTGTGTGCAGTGTCTGAAGGCTGAAAAATAATGTATTGACATCTATGAGAAAGACATAACTTGCAATATCAGAAGAGAGTCCCACACAGGACACCCTCATAAAAACTGCATTTTCCAATATGCTGTCCTACATAAATTTAGTCAGTGGAGACAGGTTTGGCATAGCAGTTTAAGACACCAATTGAGAAGCCCGCATCCCATATGCCAATTTCCAGGTTCAGGTCCAGGCTCCACTCCCAAATCAGCTTTGTACTGACGCACTCTTTGAGAGGCAGCCACTGATTAGCTTCCTGCCTTCCCCATGAAAAACCTGGAATTCAGTTCCAAGCTTCTGGTTCCATTCTGACCCAGTCCCAGTTGATGCAAGCGATTCGGGACTGAACCAGCAGATGACGGCTCATTCTGTCTCTCCAATACGTAATTTTAAAAAAACTAATCAACTAAATCTAGTCAACAGAACCAAGTTGTCACACAATTAATGAGTCCCAGAAAGTTTCAGGCATCATTCATAAATGTTAACTTTCAAGCCAGCTCTCAAAATCATGCCAGCAGTTCACCATGACAATACAACCCTCAATGAGCCCCAGATAAGCTTATTCACTCAATTTGCTGTAACAGGGACAGAGGGGAAAAAACATAACCACATCCCTCAAGATATTCAAAATGACCTAGGTGCACTTTATCTCCTGTACAAGTGAGAGAAGCTACCTAAGAATGGAAGTACCCACAAGGCAAACTACAAGCAGCTCAAAAAAAAACAGACCTATTGATTTTTATTAGAAAGAGATTTAGAAAAAAAAAAAAGAAAGAGAGAGATTTAGAGAGAAGAAGGGAGAGAAAGATACTCCATCCACTAGTTCATTCCCCAAATTGGCCACATCAGTTGGAGCTGAGCTGATCCAAAGCCAAGAGCCAGGAGTTTCCTCCAAGCCTCCCACAGTGATGGAGGGGCCCAAGGCTCTGGGCCACCCTGCACTGCTTTCCCCGGCCACAAGCAGGGACCCGGGCGGGATGTGGAGCAGCCAGGACACAAACCAGCCCACACTGGAAGCTGGAGCTTAGAAGTGGAGGATAAGCCAGCTGAGCCAAAGCACCAGTAGTTCTTAAGTAATACTATCAGACAACAAAGATTAGAATTACCTACAGCAGCTAAACAAAAACATCAATGAATAAAACTCTCTACCTTATTGATGAAAGTCATGCCAGGAAAGTACAACATCAATATTTATATATGCATTAGGAAAGACAAAGGAAACCAAGGACCATCCGCAGGAACAAACACACAGTCCTAAAAAACAGCTTTGCTATCAAGGACTTAGTTGCTATCTTCATTCCACCACTCTAAATAGACAACTTCAAAACATTATCACAGAGCCCAGTGCGATAGCCTAGTGGCTAAATCCTTGCCTTGTATCCACCAGGATCCCATATGGGCATCAGTTCATATCCTAGCTGCTCCACTTTCTATCCAGCTCCCCACTACTAGCTTGGGAAAGCAATAAAGGATGGCCCAAAGCCTTGGGACCTTGAGCCCACGTGGGAGACCCAGAGGATGCACCTGGCTCCTGGCTTCGGAACAGCACAGCTCCTGTCACTGCGGCCACATGGGGACTGAACGAACGGATGAAGGACCTTTCTCTCTATATCTCCTTCTTTCTGTATATCTGCTTTTCTATTAAACCTCTTAAAAAAAAAAAAAAAGCACCTTCTCACAAATCAAAATTACAGTCACCTTTCCAGTGTTATACGTACTCGTTATAAATCTCTTTCTGTAGATCTTTGGCAAAGTCAAACAGCTGTGCAATTGAAAGCAACGACACGTGGAACTCTGCACCTAGAATACAAAACACAGGCAAGGGAAGGGTCATTACACTGAAAAATCCCTCTGTTCTAAAAACACCATCTTCTTAGTTTTAAAAACGCAGAAACAGATCAAATAGTGCAGGGGAGGGGGTTTGAGGGAAAGAGTTCTTCCACAATCCAACCACATGAGCAACTGCATTTATACATATAGAAACGCATTCCCAAGTCAGTGGGTCATCTGTGTGCAGTGTCTGAAGGCTGAAAAATAGATTATTGACATCTATGAGAAGAGACATAACTTGCATTATATATTCATAGATATATTTTTTAAAGATTTATTTATTTTTATTACAAAGTCAGATATACAGAGAGCAGGAGAGACAGAGAGGAAGATCTTCCATCTAATGATTCACTCCCCAAGTGACTCCAATGGCCGGTGCTGCACCAATCCGAAGCCAGGAGCCAGGAGCTTCCTCCAGGTCTACCACACGGGTGCAGGGTCCCAAGGCTTTGGGCCGTCCTCGACTGCTTTCCCAGGCCACAAGCAGGATGCTGGATGGGAAGTGAGGCTGTTGGGATTAGACCCGGCGCCCAAATGGGATCCCAGCGTATTCAAGGCAAGGACTTTAGCTGCTAGGCCACCATGCCAGACCCAGCAATTGCATATTTAAATGTTTATAAATACTTCTGATATTTACTCTCAAAGGAAATGAAATAAATTATATATCATTCTGGGTAACAATATAAATTAAGTACTCAAGAAAAACTTGCTGAAATGTCCAGTTATGACCTAGGAGAAATAGCCTTTTCTGAAAGAAACAGAACACTTTGTCCACATTTGTTTTCATACACATTCTACTGGGAAGTTCAAAATTAGTGACAGGTCTTATCGTTATCAAGAAGGTTCCATTTTCATACCTCAAGTAAATGCCTAAAGGTCACCTACCTTTAATTACGCTTACAGAATTTTTGTAGATGATCCGTGCCAATTCTCCTGTAAGTATTTCTTGAGGATAATCAAAATGTCTCTAAAAAGAATTACACAAAACATAACTGCAACACTACTGAGCAGAGAAAACACAAGGATAAAAATTAACACTTCTACACAACCTGTGCCATATAACCTACCGCTGAGCCCACATGGAGATATGGATAAAGTCACTAACCTTCCTGCTTGGGCCGGTCAGAATGCCAGAGCACTGGCAAGATTATGTGCCTTAAGCTCACTCCACTTAGACCAGATAAAGTGTTACAGCTTGTCGAACCTTCTGTGGGAGACTTTATTTGGACTGGGGCCAATGTTGTGACACAGCAAGTAAATGCACTATCTACAGTGCTGGCATGCCACACACTCAACCACATCCCAGCTGCTCCACTTAGGATCCAGTTCCCTGCTAATGCCACTGGGAAAGCAGTGGAGGATGGCTCCTGTGACCCACGTGTGAGACTCAGAAGAAATTCCCAGCTCCTGGCTTCGGCCTGGCCTAACACTGACTGCTACAGCTATTTGAGGAGTGAACCAGCAGATGGAAGATCTATCTCTTCCTCTCTCTCTCTCTAACTCTTTGAAATAAGCAAACTAAATAATTTTTAAAAGAATTCTATTTGGATTAAAATGTACTGAGCTGGAAATCACAATGACAAGAAGACAACAAAATTCCAGCCTAATGTTCTAAACCTTTCTTTATTATTATTCTGTCATGGGGCTGGAGTAGTGGTGCAAACAAGTATAGGCTGCCACTCGCAGTGCCAGCATCCTATATTAATGCCAGTTCAAGTCCATGCACTGAACTTCAAGTCCAGCTCCTTGCCAATGTACTTGGGTAAACAGAAGACATTCTAAGTCCTCAAGCCTCTGCCATTCATGTGGCAGACCTTTATAGAATTTTGGGCTCCCAGTTTTGACCTGGCCCAGACACAATCATTAGGAACACTGGGAGAGTGAATCAACAACTGAAAGATCTTTATGTGTCTCTGTCTCTCCACCTCTAGACCTTCTCCCCCATCTCTCTAACTCCACCTTTTAAACAAATAAAGAACTGATTAACAAAACCTTTCAAAGAAAATTATTCTGGGGGCCAACACTGTGGTATTGTGGGTAAAGCTGCCCTCTGTGATGCCAGCACCCAATATGGATGCCAGTCCGTGTCAGGACTGCTCCAGTTCCCATTCAAATCCCTGTCAATGGCCTGGGAGATGAAATGGAGATGACTCAATTGCTTGGGCCTCTGCACTCACATGGGAGACGCAGAAGCTCCCAACTTGGGCCTGGCTCAACCCTGGCCATAGAGGCCACTTGGAAAAAAAAAAAAATTCAGAGGATGGAAGATAACTCTCCATCTCTCCCTCTCTGTAACCCTTTCTAATAAATATCTTTTGAAAAAATGATTGTCAAGTAAATGATTATTTAAAAAGAAAAGGAAATAAGCTAAGAACTATACTTTTCACAACTTTTCTGAAGCTTTTTGAACATGTAACAAAAGTTTACAACATTAAAGAATAGCATCCCTCAGAAAAAGTTATAAGATTTTATTTATTCATTTGAAAGGCAGAGTTAGAGTAGGAAACACAGAAAGAAGAAGATCTTACACCCACTGGTTCATTCCCCAAATGGCTGCAACATCTAGGATTGGGCACTCCATCTCCCAGGCAAGTGTGGGGTTCCAAATGCTGGAACCACCTTCCAGTGCTTTCTCAGGCTTGTTAGCACAACACTGAATTTGAAGTGGGGCAGCCAGGACTTGAATCAGCACCCACATGGGATGCTGGCATTGCAGGTGGTAGCTTAAATGACTATGCCACAATGCTGGCACCCATCAAATACCTACTTATAAAGCATAAAACGTCACTGCTACTCCTAAATCCACTAAAGTAAACCAACTGTAGACACATCTTAAAACTTCAAAATATGAAATTAAGCTGGAAATAAATTTCAAAGATTCTCTTACTCCCACACAGGCTTAAAAGATTACATAATGTGGGTAACTGACAATCCCACTAATATCTTACCAGGTCATCCATATCTGCTTTTTCCAGTTCTTGCTTTTCCTTCCTCAGTTTCTCGGCATGCATCAACTCCATCCTAAAGTACTGCAGAGGGAAAACAACGAGAACATCCTTGGTGTCTTTCTTTTCCGTTTTTTTCCCCCCAAAAGATTTACTTATCTTTATTGAAAAGGCAGAACATGCTACAATGCCAGTCATCAAGCTAAAAAATAGACAAACTAGCCATCTAAGATTGAAGGATTTTATAAGTGAATGTCAGAAGTGCCAACAAAGGTTGGGTGAGGAATCTCTTAGCGCCTCTGTTATCCCTAAGGTCTTCCGTGAATGATGCCGAGTTCCACTGGAAACAATCCCACTATGGTATTTAGAAGTGAAGCCTTTCTGAAATGATAATGTTACATCAGTTCAGGCCATAAGGGAAAAACCCCAGGACTGAACTCCAGTGAGTTCAGAAGAACAGACACGAACACACTCAGGGATCTACACTCCCTGTCCCCTGACACCTTGTGACTCCATCAGCAAGACAGCCATCACCTGGCTGGGCCAGCAGGCCGCCAGTACAGAACAGCGGCCCTTCAGAACTACAAGCTGAAACCACCCTCTTCCCTTTATAAACTCGGCCTACCTACATCACTTCACTGAGTAGGAGCATGACAAGGCAGGTAAGGATTCCAACTTCTCATTAACCTAGATGCTGCCCAGTGCCAACAAAAGATGCTTCTCCTCACCCTCCCATCCCACCTTAGCCTGCATAATCTGAAGTCTTTAAGATTTGAGAGCCAGAGATAACCAAACACAGAAAGACATATCTTCCATCTGCTGGTGCACTTTCCAAGACTACAGCAACCAGACCTGAGCCAAAGTCAGGAGCCAAGACTATCCAGGACTCCATGTGGGTGACACAGTCCAAGGCCTTGAGTTGTTTTCTACTACTGCCCAAACACATCATTAGGGAGCTGGATTGGAAGCAGGGCAGCTCAGACTGGAACTGGAACTTTAATACAAGTATTCAAGTAGCAGCTTAACGTGTTGTGCCACAACACTGACGCATAAAGTGTTCCTAAACTTAATGAGCAATATATGAGCAAGTGTTCAGCTTAGCAGTTAAAATTCCCACACCACCTCCATCGCAGAGTTCAGGTTCAATTCTCAGCTCTACTTGGCTAACTCCAGCTCCTTGGTAATACAGACCCTGAGGGACAGTGGTAATGACTCAAGCAATTGGGTTCCTGCCACCAGCATGTGAAAACCTGAATAGAACTTTGGCTTATGTGCTGGCCATTATAGGTATTCGAAGTGATTAACAAGACAAACACTTGTCCGTCCTTTCCCTCTCTCTCTCTCTCTCTCTGCCTCTGCTTCCTAAATTAAGAAAGAATGCATACTGAGGCCCTGAAAGATGCCTCAGTGGCTAAATCCCCGCCTTGAAGGCGCCAGGATCCCACATAGGCATCAGCTCATGCCCCAGCTGCTCCACAGTTCATCTACCCAGCAGTGGGGGAGGATGGCCCATATCTGTCTCTCCTTCTCTCTGTGATTCTGCCTTTCTAATAAAAATAAATAACTCTTAGAGCACACACACATCTGCAGAGAACCCCAGTGAGGCATCACTCTTTCAGCGGGTATGCACACACTTACTTCTTGATAAAGCTTTGGGCACTCAGGATGAAAGCGCAGAGCCCGCAGAAACAACTGTCTCGCACTTTCTGAAGATAAACGGTCTTCCATTTCCCATTTGGCTGCCATAATCCACAAAGCTATAAATGAAAAAACATCAGACTCCATATCAATAAATGAAACAAGGCAACCAAGAAAAGACAATGATGCAATCTCAAATACTCAAAGAATTTTTAAAATAATCTTACCGAAAAGGTAAGGAGGAAAAGAGTTTCTAATGGCTCACTTGCATTGCTTTATCTAGTATTACAATATTCTGGGGCCAGTGTCGTAGCACAGTGGTAAAGCTGCTGCCTGTGACAACATGTAGAAAGCAGATCAGAATCTGGCTGCTCCACTTTCAATTCAGCTCCCTGGGAAAGTAGCAAAGGACAACCCGAGAACTTCGGCCTCAGCGTCACTGGGTCTGGCCTACTCCCAGGCTGCTGGCCAACTGGTGAGGGAACCAACAAATGGAAAATCTGTCTCTCCCTCTTTGCAACCTGGACTCTCAAGCAAATCTTTAAAATAAATAAGTAAAATTAGAATATTCTGTGACCAATGTGGTGACGCAGTTAAAGCTCTTGCAATACAGTCATGCCATATCTGTGCTCAACTTCCTATCCAGCTTACTCCCTAAAATGCCTAAGAAGCATCAGAAAAATGGCCCAAATGACTGGGCCCAAGCCAATCATGTAGGAGTCATGGATGGAATTACTGACTCTTGGCTATGACCTGGCCCAGTCTTGACTGCTGTGGACACCTAGAAAGTAAACCAGCATATGCAAGTCTCTTTGTCTCTGTCACTTTTTCAAATAAATAAAATAAATCTTGAAAAAACAATATTATTCTGGACCCAACGCCATGGCTTGATGAGCTAATTCTCTACCTCACAGGCACTGGGATTTCATGTGGACACCAGTTCATGTCCCGGCTGTTCCACTTCTCATCCAGCTCCCTGCATATGGAAAACGGTGGAGAATGGCCCAAAGACTTGGGACCCTGCACAAGCACGGGACATCCAGAGCAGGCTCCCAGCTCCTGGCTTTGGATCAAAATAGCCCCATCCATTGCGGTCCACTGCAGTGAATCAGCAGACACAAGATCATTCTCTCTCTCCACTGTAAATCTGCCTTTCCAATGAAGATAAATTTTGAAAAATAGTAACAATATTCTAAAGGAAACAAGTAAATACTAATATGACTTAGAGACACAGTACATGCTACTGCATGTCATCAATGTGATGTGTAATATTTTAAATACTGAAAAAAAAGTCAGAGAGAGAGGACCCAGAGAAAAAGATCTTTCATCCATTGGTTAACTCCACAAATAGCCAAGTTGGACAGGACTGGGTCAGAAAGAAAACAGGATACTGAAATTCCAACTGTGTCTCTTTCATGGCTAGCAGTGACCAAAATTCCTGGGCCATCTTCCAGCTACCTTCCCAAGAACATCAGCAGGCAGCTGGATGGGAAGCAGAGCAACCCAACTCAAACTGGTAGTCCAATATGGGATAGACACAGTAAAGCCACATTTTAAAGATGTTAAAAAGAAAAACACTCATACCTTAGAATCAGTGAAATAATACCACTCTTTGTTCTTCTCTCACTTGGAATAGTTCACAATTTTTTAAAAAATTGAAAAATGCCTCAAAATTGGAAATTAAGAGCCAACACTGTGGCTCAATGGGCTGATCTTCCACCTTCAAGCACTGGTATCCAATGGATGCCTGTTCATGTCCCAGTTGCTCCACTTTCCATCCAGCTTCCCTGCTGGTGCCCTGGGAAAGCAGCAGAGGATGGCCCAACTCCCTAGACCCTGGCACCCATGTTAGTGTGAGAGAACTGGAAGAGGATCCTGGCTCCCTGCTTTGGATTGGTTCAGCTCTGGCCACTGTGGCCTTTTGGGATGGCCAAAGAGGATGAAGATCTTTCTCTCTCTTTCCCTCTAATAAGAATAATTCTTGGGCCTGGTGGCGTGGCCTAGCGGCTAAAGTCCTCACCTTGAACGTGCCCGGATCCCATATGGGCACCAGTTCTAATCCCGGCAGCTACACTTCCTATCCAGCTCCCTGCTTGTGGCCTGGGAAAGCAGTCAAGGACAGCTCAAAGCCTTGGGACCCTGCACCCACAGAGACCCAAAAGAAATTCCTGGATCCTGGCTTCGGATCGGCACAGTACCGGCCGTTGCACTCACTTGGGGAGTCAATCATCGGACAGAAGATCTTCTTCTCTGTTTCTCCTCCTCTCTGTCTCTCCTCCTCTCTGTATATCTGACTTTCCAATAAATAAATAAATCTTTAAAAATAAATAGATAAATAATTCTTAAAAAAAGAAGAAAATAAATTAATAATGAGTTAATATTGTAGTTTCTTTCCTAGAAACCCAAGTTCAGCTATCTTAACAAGCAGGACTAATATTGAAAAACAAAAAGAGTGATAACCACGCCCAGACTAGGAGAACCCTGAATGAAGGCAAGCCACTGCTGTGCTGCTACAGAGCACGGGACTTTCTGAAAAGGAGCAAGAACTTTGCCTTTATTTTTAATATTTATTTATTTGAAAGGCAGAGTGATCAAGACAGAAAATCAGACAGTAAGCTTCCATCCAATCCACAGCAGCACTTCCCAAATGGAAACAATAGCTAGGGTTGAACCAATCAAAAGCCAAGAGTGTAAAATTCCAACGGGGTCTTAACAGGAGTAGTGGGGGCCTAAGTACTGTGCCATCTTCCACTGCTTTCCCAGGTACATTAAAGGGAACTGGTGGGAAGCAGAGTGGCCTGAACTTGAATCAGCAATCATAGGGGATACCAGCAGCAGGGAAGGTATCGATCAACAGACTGAACATGCTCAACCTGCATGTTCAATGTGCTGCCCTGCGATGCCAGCCCTAGGGCTTCTAAGCAGGAGCTGCGTCCTACCCAGTGATGTTATCTCGTCTCCGCACACCTGAACTACCAGCTCGAGTTCCACAGACTGGCATCCAAGCTGCTTGAAGCACTGTACTAAAGAAACACACCTGTGGGGCAGCACATTAAGCCACCTCCAGCAGTGGTGGCATCCCACATGGGCATCAGCTCAAATTACAGCTCCCTATTAATGCGCCTGGGAAAGCAATGGAAGATGTGGCACAAATGCTTGGGCGCCTGTATCCATATGAAAACCCAGAAGCTTTGGGCTCCTGACTTCACCCAGGTCTATCCCTGTAATTGTAGCCATTTGGGGACTGAACCAACTTTCTCTCTCTCTCTAGTTCTTTCTGTAACTCTGCCTTTCAAATAAAACACATTTTTAAATAAAAAAATTCCCCAGTAATAAAGCTTTCTTAAGATGCTGTTTAAGTTGAAAGGTAGGAGAGAAACATAGACAGAGATCTCCAAATGGCCACAAGACCAGGCTGGGCCAGGCTGAAACCAGGAGCCTGGAACTCATCTGGGCCTCCCTGGGGATGCTAGGGCCCCAGCACGCAGGCTGTCCTTTAGTGCTTAGCAGGGCACATTAACAAGCACTTGAACAACAAATGGAGTAGACATGCCCCAAACCAGCACTCCCACTGGGTGCCAGCATCACATGCTCTGGCTGAACTTGCTACATGAGTGCCAGCCACTATAATAACCCAATTTGATTGCCTCCAAATAATATACCTCAAAAGGACTGAAGACTACCATTTGCAATCAGTTAAAAAGCCACAGTGGTCCCTGCCCACAGAGTATATGGTATAGTGAGGGGTGTAGGGTCAGCAAACATGAATACTGACAGCCGTTCAGAACAAACACTGCTGAGGCCAACTGTCCAGGGAGGTCCACAAGGATTCCTATCAGCTTCTTCCAGCAAAAAAAATGGGGGGAGGGGGATCAAAACAGATCAACTGTAAACTCTAAATGAAACAAAGAACTGTCAGGACTTGGAGCATACCTGGCTTGTTTGAATGAATGGCCAACATGGCAGAGAACACTTTGCTCAGCTGCTCCTTGGTCGCCTGTAGAAGAAGAGACACATCTGCTTTCTGAACAGGGAAGTCACCGAGGCTAATGTCCCAAGTGCACCTTCACAACTTTTTTTCACCAATATTTATATTTCTACTATCTAAATCCCAAAATAGTTTAAGAATCTAAACACAAAAAAAAATTTTTAAGTTACTGAATAAGTAGGCATAAAAATGAAATCTTCCCAATCACTTACAAACTAATTTTATAGTTATTAATACAAATAGTAGGCTGAAATTCAGCCTTCCTGGGTTTGTCCATTTTAAAGATTTATTTACTTGGGTCCGGCGAGATAGTGCAGTGGCTAAGGTCCTCGCCTTGAACGTGCCAGGATCCCATAAGGGCGCCGGTTCTAATCCCAGCGGCCCCACTCCCCATCCAGCTCCCTGCTTGTGGCCTGGGAAAGCAGTCAAGGACAGCTCAAAGCCTTGGGACCCTGCACCCATATGGAGACCCAGATGAAGCTCCAGGCTCTTGACTTCAGATCAACTCAGCTCTGGCCGTTGCAGTCACTTGGGGAGTAAACCAACAGACGGAAGATATTCCTCTCTCTCTTTCTCCTCCTCTCTGTATATCTGACTTCGCAATAAAAAATAAATCTTAAAATATGAAAAAGATTTGAACCCAGCATTACACAATATGAAATCAAATGTCGCAGCAGTGTCTGAACTGTCCTGCCAAACACCCACCCCTGAGTTCTTTGTCCATTCATCAATGCTACATCGCTGGTAAAAACAGAAGCAGTAAAGAAGCATAAAGCTTAAAAGCCAGATAAGTAGAAAGTACAGAAGTGGGGGAAGATACAGCTTCACTCACCCATTTTTTACAAAAAACTACATAGGACAGCCAAAGTTGAACATCATCCTGCAAGAAAAGCAATGTGGTCAGCTGCTTGAATTTGATGTTGACATCCAAGGTACTTCTCAATTAACTAATTTTGTTACTAACAGGCAGATTTTAAAGACCAATGGGTAACCACATCCCCCAGCCTTTCAGGCTCTTCCTTACTGAAGCCAAACGGCAACTCAATGTGTGCCCGACACCCACCCACACTCCAACATGTCGTCTATCTACTCGGCTCGGTACTGCGCTTGACGGTCTCCACCAGGTAAGCCACTCGAGCACTGCACTCCCCGAAGCACGCCAGTGTACCCCGGCATGTCCGGTCCCAGAGAGAAACTGAGTAAAACCAAGTTACTGAGGTACTGCCACCCTTTATCTTTCACCTCCAAGTTGTCAGTGCACGCCCCTTACAGATAAATCCAAACATCTCCACGGCAAGCTTTAACCCTAAATAAATTGGATATGCGATTTTCAATACTACCTTTACAAAATAACCATAAGACAGTGAGACTGATTTTAATAAATGGTTGAAAAAATGTTTCAAGCACTGGTACTATCAGTGAGGCGTCCACACAGTAATACATACAACACACATCCCCAGCCCCGAGGCGAGGTGCTGTCAGCTCACACCTTCCACTTTGCTGAAGCCCGTCGGAAGACTCCTTGTACCCGGTGGACAATAGAATTTTCAATCTCATCCCTCTTAAAGGAGTACTTTATGCGCTGAAAGGGAACATAAAAGTCTTGGTTTGATCACATTTGTCCAAAGCAGCATTCCCACCTGATCATCTCACAATACAAAAAAGAAAGAAAATAACTGTAGCTACCCCGTTACACACAGCACGAGGGTTCATCAACAGCAACTGCCTCCCACACACACGTTCTAGTTACATGGCTATGAGGCTTACTCTACTTTCTCCCACCATCTAGAAAATCATCTACTTACTGTTCTTCTTCTCTGGATCAGCTCCAATAGATTAATTTCATACTATGGGAGAAAAACATTTTAAAAATTACAGTCTTTTAAACACAAAAAACAAATTTAGTTAACTTCTTTAGAAACTTATTTATTTGGGGGTCTGGTGTGGTAGCCTGGTATACGGTAGCCTTGCATGTGCTGGGATTCCATATGGGCACTAGTTCATGCCCCAGCTGCTCCACTTCCCATCCAGCTCCCTGCTTGTGGCCTGGGAAAGCAGTTGAGGATGGCCCAAAGCCTTGGGACCCTGAGCCCACAAGGGAGACCCGGAAGAAGCTCCTGGCTCCTGCCTTCGGATCGGCTCAGCTCTGGCCATTACAGCCACTTGGGGAGTGAACCAGTGGATAGAAGATCTTTCTCTCTGTAAATCTGACTTTCCAATAAAACAATTTAAAAAAAAAAAAAAGAAAGAAAGAAAGAAAGAAAGAAACATATTTAGTTGGGCCCAACGTGGTAACCTAATGGTTAAAGTCCTTGCCTTGCATACCCAGGATTCCACATGGGCTCCGGTTCTTGTCCCAGCTATCCCACTTTGCTCTAGAGCACCCAAAGCCTTGGAATGCAGCACCCGCTTGGGAGACCCAGAAGAAGCTCCCGGCTCCTGGCTTTGGACTGGCTCAGCTCTGGCCATGAGTGAATGAGTGAACAAAATATCTTTCTCTTTGTCTCCTTCTCTCTGGAGATCTGACTCTCCAGTAAAAATAAATAAATCTTTTTTTTTTTTTTAAGATTTATTTTTATTATTTTTTGATTGGAAAGGCGGATATACAGAGAGGAGAGACAGAGAGGAAGATCTTCCGTCCGATGATTCACTCCCCAAGTGAGCGCAACGGGCCGATGCTATGCCGATCCGAAGCCAGGAGCCTCTTCTGGGTCTCCCACGCGGGTGCAGGTTCCCAAAGCTTTGGGCCGTCCTCGACTGCTTTCCCGGGCCACAGGCAGGGAGCTGGAAGGGAAGCGGGGCCGCCGGGACTAGAACCGGCGCCCATATGGGATCCCGGGCGTGCTAGGCGAGGACCTTAACCACTTGCGCCACCGCGCCGGGCCCATAAATAAATCTTTAAATTAAAAAGAGGAAATTTATTTATTTACCTGACAGGCAGTTACACACAGTTATCTTCCGTTCACTGGTTAACTTCCCAAATGGCCACAAAAGCTGAGCTGGGCACATGGGTGCAGGGTCCCAAGGCCGCGGGCTATCCTCTGCTGCTTTCCCAAGTGTACCAGCAGGCAGGCGGGTTGGAAGTGGAGCAGACAGAACTTAGACTAGTGCCACTATGGGATGCTGCTTTCACAGACAGTAATTTAACCCACTGTACCACAATGCTGATCCCAGATTTTGCTAAAATTAGCAAGTAAATAGGGCTAGCTAATGACTGGTGGCACAGCATGCTAATTCACCACCCCTGTGGCACCAGCATCCCATATCCACGCTGGCTCATGCACCAGATGCTCCGCTTCCAATCCAGTTCTCCCCTTGTGGTCTGGGGAAGTACCAGAAAATCGCCTAAGTTCCTGGGACCCTGATCCACAGGTGAGCCCTGCAGGCAGCTCCGTGAATGGAACACCTTCTTTATCTCTCCTGTCTCTGTAATATCAGCCTTTCAAATTAAAATAAACAAATCTTATCAAGTAGAATCAGGAATGTAAAACAGAAGGCAATTTGCTGTCACTGGATATGATCTGAAACAACAGCCAGAACTTACTAACCTCTACTACACAGAAGGCCTACATTTCACTAAATTTGCCACAAATCTTTTTTAAAAGTAAAACGCAACAGGCTGGCACTTTGATTTCACTCCTCCTTCTCTCCAGAGACAGACCCTGTACTCACTGCTATCGCGTTCACTTTCAGGCTACAAAGTGAAATCATCCTTGCCCACCATCCCTAACTTCTCCGGAAGAAAACGACCAGGTACATCCCTGCCGACACACTGAATTCCGCTTCATTCACCTTAACGGCTGCATATTTCATGTATGAATGTCCCACTACCCAAAGTGGACTCTGTGGTACAGTGAGCTAAACCACCATGTGGGACCCCCACCATCCACACAAGAGGCCCAGAGCAAGGTTCTGACTGATGCCTTCAGCCTCACGCAGCTGTAGCTGTTGCCAGCACTTGGGGACTCAACCAGCGGGTAACATAATTCCATCTCTGCCTATCTGTTTCCACAAAGCAGTCAAGGATGGCCCAAATCCTTGGGACCCTGCACCCATGTGGGAGACCCAGAAGAAGCTCCTGGATCCTGGCTTCTGATCAGCTCAGCTCCGGCAAATGCAGTCACTTGGGGAATGAACCAGTGGATCATTCCCTGAGCCCTGAAATAAACCTTTAAAAAAAAAGTTTACACACTTTGTGCCTTCAGTAGTCTCTAACAAACCCACAAAAAGACAAAGACAAAAGACAAAGAGCTCTAGGGTTTTTAGGGTACGTAATTGCTGCCTAGGGACATCCGGGGATATGACAGGCCAGTGTGAGTGCAGGTGAGGGATGAACTCTGTGTGATTCCTAGCGATGGAGTCACGGAACTTGCTTGCAAGCATAAGGACTGAGATCTGAGGATTTGGAGGGGAGAGTCCGTAAGTTCTCATTAAACCAGACTGATTCACCAACCTACATGGGAATCCTGAGATGGGCTGTTAGCGTAGAGCATCAATGACTGCCACACACCAGTCCACACCGGTGGCCTGTCTGGCAGGGCTAGGTACCAGTACCTGACTGAGTGGCGGAACAGAGGATGGGTTACACTTGGCAGGGTCAGGACACTAACCAACATGCGAGAGAATCAGATCCAGGGGCAGATTCTGTGGGGGAACTGTGGGCCCAACCCTGAAGAAATACAAGTCCCGCAGGTTAGCGCTCAGGCGTGGCGATGGTGATGGGCTGAGCTAGGTGTGATCATGGAACCTGCCATCACTTACAGTCTCGGCAGGTCAAGGCAGCAGCACCCAAATGTGCATCTTAAAACAGGATGTGGGGTGGGCCAAGCTGCAACTGGAAGGGGGCAAACCAGGCAGGGCCAAGCAAACCTCAACTCACAAGGAAGAACAAATCAGGCCGGTGCACAGGTCATGCCGAGATAGGCTCTTAAACCAACTGGTCTACATGAGCCAGGGATATTAGGACAAAGCAATGAAGGCAAATGCCAAGACAGGTGAGGGGCTGTGCCAAGTTGGGTCAGAGCAACCACTGGCATGCATGCCATCTATGGTTGGGAACAGGCCCAAATGGGGAGCTAAGAAGACACCCTAACTGGGTTGGGATTCCCACTGGTGAGTGCGGGGGCTGGAGTGAGGGCTGCGTTCTGACCTGGACATGGCTGTACTCTCCCTTGGCACAAGTGTGGACTGGGACTGGACACACCAAGCCAGGCTAGACTCCAGCACCATCTGATGCTCTGAAGAACCAGGGTAGACGTAGGATGGACTAGGCTAGGTCTCTGCCCCTACTGAGCCATGTGTGAGCCATGTCTGGGTATGGACGACCCTTGGCTGGGCTGAAACCGGAATGGGTTGAAGACCAGTCAGGAAAGGCCGCTGTTCCTGCTAGGACAGGAGGTGGACTAAGTAGGGTTGACCCATGGACCCACTGGTATGCACAAGATCTGGCAATGGGAGAGGTTCTTATGGGGGAGCTTGGGAAATTCCTCTGTCTGGACATAGTCCCTGCAAGTGAGCACAAGAACCACGATAGGGAGCAACGCAGACCAGGCCAGAGAAAGGTACCCACCAGCATGCATTTAGCATAGGTCAGGGACAGACCAGGCTGAACCAGTTCATATCTCTCACTGGCGAATCTGAGTACCAGAACACAGTGTGGGTCATGCCAGGTATGGTTGCAGCACATACCAGTGCACACTACAGCTGGGATTGGATGCCTACTGGGCTGGCTAGGCTGTAGCCCTCACCAGTGTCTGCTGGAATTGGGGGAAAAGCCAGGCTAGGCCAGGCTACAACACCCACTGGGAAATGTCAAGGTAAGGTGGGCCGTACCAGACTTGGCCGCAGCGCCCAAGCAGCACACGGGAGAACGAGAGGGCGGGGGCAAAGCCGATAGGGGGAATGTGGAGGGCTCCCCTGCTGGACAGCCACTCCCACTGGAGAGTGTGAGCTGGGATGGGGCAGACGAAACCAGGCAGGGCTACAACACCTGTGGTCCTCATGTGAGCGAGATCAAGGAAAAGCCAGGCTGGACTGACTGATCCTACTGGTGGCAAGCATAAATGTGAGTGGGTGAGGACTGGTTGGGCTTTGCTGCAGCATCAGCTAACAGAGGCTGGCACTGGGGACTAATTCTGTCAGGTTAAACTGCAGAACCACCTGGAGAGTGCATAGTCAGGGAGTGGCCTAGGAGGGAAATAGTGGGCACCTCCCTCTTGGATTACCACTCCCCCTGGAGAGCATGAAAACCAGGATTGGGTCAGGGGTGGCTAGACAGAACAGCACCTGCCAGCATGTGTGTGGGCTGCATAGTAGGCAGATTGGTTTGAACTAGGCTTCAATGGCCATTGACATGTATGACAACTAAACGGGATGTGGGACAGACTGAGTTAATCTGCGGAACATACTGACAAGCATGGGAACGAGGGTAGGGAGCAGGCCTGGTGGGGTTATTGGGAGTCGCCCTGACTAGGCTGCAGCTCCCACTAGTTTGTGTGAGGGCAGAATATGAAGTGGGCAGAATTGGGCTGGACTGCAACATCCATTGGTTCGCGTGGAAGACAGGGCTGGAAACGGAACTGACCAGTAACTGCCAACCACCAGCATAGGCATAAGCGGATCTGGGCAATGGACTGTGCCAGACCCTGTACTGGAATCACAAGAATCAGGTCTGGGATCACTTCAGATGAAGTTTCTTTGGGGATCCCTTCAACTGAACTGCTGATTTCAGAACCCCAACCATGAAGAGACTATGTCAGCCAGTGGATTCTGAATAGATTTCATCGCACTTGGAGTAGCAAGATTGGCAGAAATGTCAAAACTGCATGAGCAGTGCCCTCAGAGCATGCCCTACCTCGCGGATCTGGGATGGGTGGGAGGCTGGATGGGGCTCTTCCCTTTCCCTTACACCAGATACAGAAAAAAAATATATTAATGTGGAAACAATGGTCTTACTCACTTTCCTGTAGCCCTTGACCCTTTGTGCCCTAATCAACTATGTAAAGATTACCAAAATAAAAGAATTAATAATAATAAAAAAGACAAAGACATGAAATAGCAAGCTAAGCCTCTGCCTAAGTCCCTGTCATCCCATCAGCCTGTGCCTGGCTACTCCACTTCTGACCCAGCCCTTTGCTAGCTGTCTGGGAAAGCAGGGGCGGCTAACCAAGTGCTTGGGCCCCTGCACCCATGTAAGAGACCCAGGCCTGGCTCCTGGTTCCTGGTGCCTGGTGCCTGGCTCCTGGCTCCTGGCTTCAGACCAACCCAGATACAGCCAGTGTGGCCACTGGGGAGTGAACCAGCAGATGCACATTCTCTGTCTCTCTTCTCTACAATTCTCCCAATTAAATAAGAATTTTTAAAAAAGACATAGGGGAAAAAAAAGGAATGAAAGGGAAAAATCTGCCTAGTTTTACAAGTCCTAAAGCCTTAACAGACAAAGCAATTCCCAGTGTTGTTTTAGGCTGCTTCAAAACTGTCTCATCAATAACACTGGAAATCTGCACAGAGTGATGTAAATATTACTGATTTTAATCTAAAATAACATTTTTTAAAATATATTTTTATTTTGAATTTCGAATTATGTGGTACAATTTTATTAGGCTGGGATATCCCCCCACAAAACTCCCACCGCCCCAACACATTTTCCCCATAAAATTACATTTTTTAAAGTGAAAAGCCAGGAAAATGACTTACTTGAACATAATTGATGAAGTCTTCCTTAAAAAGGGTTCTTCTCTGTATTTTATACTCCAGGTCAGATGCCTTCCTGATGATTGCCCTGGGGAGAGTCAGCAGGGCTCTAACACCGGAGAGTCATGAAAGGCTTGAGTGTATGCACACAGAGCTACCGCCACCTAATGCCCGGGGACGGTTATCTGGGCTTCACTGTGGCATGCTGGGATAAGCCACAGCCCACACCAGTGCCATCTGATGTGTGGCATCCCATGCGGGCACCAGTTCAAGTCCCAGCCCCTCCGCTTGTGCTCACGCTCCACTAGCGCGCCTGGGACAGCAGCAGCAAGAGGCACAGGTGCTCGGTGCTCTGTCCCCCACAGGGGGGACCAGATGAGGCTCCTGGCCCTGGCTCCGGCCTGGCCTAGCTCGGCCATTGTAGCCCTTTGGAGAGTGAATCAATGGATGGAAAATCTCTCACTCTTTTTTAAAAAAATGTATTTATTTTTTATTGCAAAGTCAGATCTACAGAGAGAAGGATGGACAAAAAGATCTTCTATCCACCGGTCACTCCCAAAGTGGTCACAATGGCCAGAGCTGAACCAATCTGAAGCCAGGAGCCAAGACCTTCTTCCAGGTCTACCATGCAGGCGCAGGATCCCAAGGCTTTGGGCCGTCCTCAACTGCTTTCCCAGGCCACAAGCAGGGAGCTGGATGGGGAAGTGGAGCTGCCGGGATTAGAACTGGTGCACACCAGGTATGGACCTTAGCCACAAGGTTACCACACCAGGCCCTCGCTCATTCACTTTCTATCTCTCCTTAAATAAAATCTTTTTTACACACACAATTTATTTCAGAAGCAGGTTTCTGTCACATAACTTTAGCAGATTTTTAAAGATTTACTTATTCACCTGAAAAGCAGTTACAGAAAAGGAGGCAAAGAGGCCTTCATTCTTCTGGCTCACTCCTCCAAATGGCCACAGCAGCCAGTGCCGGGCTGCCGGGCAGGGGCAGCCGCACCCCGGTCTCCAGGTCAGTGGCTAATATCCACGCGCCTGTGTACCTTCTTGGGCCTTCCCTGGTGTGTTCTCAGAGAGCCCGGTCCGAGGCAGATCAGCTGGGAGCCCAACTGGCATTCCAGTACAGGATGCTGCTCGTGGACAGAAGCTGAACTGAGGCCCAACCCCGGCCCCACCTCAGGGCATCAGAAAGTCTTCCAAAACTTTCAGGATGATCACCTTAATTACCAAGACCACTGACATGCCTACCAACAACTAAATATTAATTACTTAGCATTTATACTATACTAAGCATTTATACATGCTAAGTACATGTTAAATACATGTATGCATGACATTAAAGCTTCTATTTCTTTCAAATCCATGAGAATGGAGTTTTAGTCATATACAAGGGGCTGGCATCCCACACGGGCACCGGTTTTACTCCTGACTGTTCCACTTCCCATCCAGCTCCCTGCCTGTGGTCTGGGAAAGCAATCGAGGACAGCCCAAAGCCTTGGGACCCTGTACCTGTGTGGGAGACCCGGTAGAGTCTCCTGGCTCCTGGTTTCTGAATGGTTCAGCCCTACCTGTTGCAGACATTTCGGGGGTGAACCAATGGATGAAAGAGCTTTCTGTCCCTCCTCTCTATAAATCTGTTTTCAATTTTAAAACTCTTTAAATAAGAAAAAGAAATTCTAATGTCAGGGGAGGGTGCGTGGCACAGGTAACCCGCTGCTTGGGAAGCCAGGTTCCCATGCCCGAGGGCCACAGCCAGGGCTGGAACTCCCATCCAGCTTGCTGTCCCTGTGTGCCAGGGCAGGCAGCAGCTGACAGCTCAAGTACTGGGCCCCCTGCCACTTCCCCAGGTCAGCAGGGAATGCCCCCACCCTCGGCCTGCTGCAGACATCTGGAGAGTAAACCAGCAAAGGAAGATCTGTGTCTCTGCTCCTTCCTCCGTGGCTCTCTCAAATAATAAGCCTTTCTTTTAAAAAAGGCAGTAAAGGAATCAACGCAAATTCATCGTCTTTGGCCATGACATCTACAGGATGTCTCCTAAGCATTCAAGCTGCTACACCGATTCCTTAGGAGCCAATGTTTGAGGCTGGCACTCACAGAACCACACTCATACCCACTGTCGTCCCACAGCGAAGTCACAGAAAACATACATATATATACATACATATATATATACACACACGTATGTATATACCTGAGGCGAGTTAGGCAACTAACCGCTGCCAAGGGCGCCCTGGTAGCGGGAGAAGCTGAATGAGGCCGCTCCGTGCCGGCAGGACCCCCAAGGCACGTGCAGCCCGCCTGCCCCACCAGCCCCGAGCCCGGCCCTGCACACTCGTCCTCCCGCCAGCTCGGGGGTCAGCACTGCACAACCCAGAGCCCGGCCTGGACACAACCGCGACTCCTGCCCGCGCCCGCCCCAGGACCTCCCCTCGGCCTGCCCACGACCCGCTCGCACTTAATCTCCGCATGACTGAACAGCCCAACGCGCTCCAGCTGTTCCAACTCGGGAATGCGGTCTTCTATGCGCTCCTGGATGATCTCCGCCATGATGCCGCCACTTCCGCCACGCGCGGGATCCGGGCGCACCTGGCGCACGTGTGACGCGACGTGCAGCCGAGCTCCCGCCTCTTCCGCTTCCGCCCCTCGGCCGCCTGGGAGGACCCTTGGGTTTTGCGGCTGCTGCCGCCACCTTGTGGCAATTTGTGGGGTTGCAGTCAGCACTTTGGGGTGGGGTGGGGATGGAGGGGCGGGGCCTGTCTGGGGCGGGGCGGGTCTGTCTGGGCGGGTCAGGAGAGATGGGGCGGGGTCTGTCTGGGGCGGGGCTACCTGGATGGGCGGGGCAGGAGGGCGGGGCCGACGGGTCTGGTGGGCGGTGCCGCTGGGGCGGGGCTGTGTGGTGGGCGAGCGAGTCTGGTGGGCGGGGCCGCCCTGGGGCGGGGCTGTCTGGTGGGCGGGGCCGCCATGGGGCGGGGCCGGCGGGTCTGGTGGGCGGGGCCGCCCTGGGGCGGGGCTGTCTGGTGGGCGGGGACGCCCTGGGGGCGGAGCTGTCTTGTGGGCGGGGCCGACCGGGGGCGGGGCCGAGTGCGCGCCGCCCGCCCCGGAGCGGTTACCTGAGAGCGTTGGGAAATGCCTTTTTCTGAGGGACGTGGTTTTTGTCTTGCGGTCCTAACCGCGTTCTCACTTCCCGACACCAAAAAACAAAGGCAGATGGAGGAAGACACGTTTGATTGGAGCCTGTCAGCATTTCCGAGAGCAGTGAAAAATCGTGGCGGCGCTAAGCACGCTCCCAGGACGCTTAGATTTAGCCGACCATAGTGGCAATGCCGGGTGTTCATGTGCCAATTAGAATTTCTCAATGCGTGGTTGATTTTTAAATGCAAAGAAGCACGTATTATTGAAATAATTCTTCCAGCTCTGCGGGCGAGATCTTTGAACACACACGGCCTGGGCGTGTGGGTGTGGGAAGGGAAAAGGCATTGGTGGGGAACTTGGATTTTGAAAAGTTTGGAGACCTCAAGGGATGAACAGATTTCTCATTAAATCGTGATGATCCCAGCGTCTCAACCTTTCCTAGACAATCTTCAGGCAATCCGGCTTGGAAGCAACGCTGATGGTGCAATTATTCAACCTAAAATAATTACGTGGCTTGGAGCTTTTTAAGTTCTGGAAGACACAAAGCGGAAGGCATTCTTGCTCGACCTGTTTCTTGGGTGTTCTCATTCGCACCTGGGCCGTCTGCAGGACGTAGGGAAGCCGAGGCTGAGCAATCCCACCCCTCTGGTGCCTTCCTGTCCTTTTTCCTTTCGCATTTTAACTCTGCTGGCCTTCGAACAGAAACACAGATGAGCCAAGACTTCATGATTTGGAAGCGGACGGAAGTCACAGCCGTGAAGCCAGGATGGGATGTTTTTGAAATGGTAGGCTCTCCTGTGCGTTAACAGGAGGAAGGGGGCGGCAGGAAGATATGAGCTGTCTATGGGGCAGAATATTGTGCTGTTTGCTCACTGGGTGCTTGCTGCAATGCCTAGCATGGAATAATTACTCAACAAATAAATGCATGAGTGTAAAAGGCATTTGTGAAGTTTCTTTAGATAGAAGAAAGTCAACAAGTTCTGACAGTATAAGCTTTCTTTCGAAGGCAAATCTAAAAGAAACCTTGACATATTCGCCATGGCTTTTGTTTTTCACTACAGCCTCTGTCGTCGTGGCACAGCAGCTTCACAGGTGGTTTATAACTCCCACATCCCATGTCAGAGCACTGGTTTGAGTTCCAGCTGCTCTGCTTCCTATCCGGCTCCCTGCTAATGCGCTGGCAGGTCATCAGAATATGGTCCCAGTACTTGAGGAGCCCTGACGCACACCTGGGAGACCAGGCTGGAGTTCCTGGGCTCCCGGCTTTGGCCTGGTCCAGCCTAAACCGTTGCAGCTATTTGGGGAGTGAACCAACAGATTCACAATCATCAATCTCTCTCCCGCTTCATTCTCTTTCAAATAGATAAATATAAAAGAGAGAGAGAGAGAGAGAGAGAGAGAGAGAGCTCTTAGCAATGCAAAATCCACTTCCAACCATCTGGGGAGCGAACCAGCAGCTGACAGATCTCTGTCAAAGTCACTCTTGTAAAATAAGCCTCTAGGGCCCAGCGCCGTGGCCTAGCAGCTAAACTCCTCACCTTGAATGCACCAGGATCGCATATGGGCACTGGTTCAATCCCAGCAGTCCCTACTTCCCATCCAGCTCCCTATTTGTGGCCTGGGAAAGCAGTGGAGGACGGCCCAAAGCCTTGGGACCCTGCACCTGTGTGGGAGACCTGGAAGAGCTCCTGGCTTCAGATTGGCACAGCACTGGCCGTTGCACTCACTTGGGGAGTGAATCATCGGATGGAAGATCTTCCTCTCTGTCTCTCCTCCTCTCTCTATATATCTGACTTTGCAATAAAAATATTTTTAAAAACCTCTACATGTGTTTCTCATGGTTTTGAGAATTGCGTTTCCATTTCTCTGAGAGTGAACGAGGACAGAGGTGCCACGGGTGCCTGCTGTACACTTCACCCCATCACCAGACTCTCGCCAACCTGAGCTTTACTTGGTGCTGGGCAACCTGGGCCTCTAATCTCAGTCCCTCATCTGCCTCCTCTGCCACGCCCCCTAACTATGCCAACCTCAATCCACCAGGGAGCTCTGCAAGAGACTCAGGACATCTACGGGGGCAGGAAAACTCGACCTGCACCGTGCCACGTGGGCTCCAGGTCCCCAGCAGTGCCCGTCTTGCAGTTTAGAGAACAGCCGGAGCACACTGGGGCCTGGGACTTCAGGCTGCAAGACGCCGCGCAGACATCAATACTGACCGGTACTGACCAGTACTGGCCACACGGGGGAGCCTTCTCAGGTCTGGAGTTCAGTGACCGTCCGGTGTCACGGAGAGCAGCCTTAAGACTTGGGCACTCTACAGAAGTTGACACTTCTTTTTCCTTCACTTTATTTAAAAGGTGAGAAAGAGGGACCATGGGGTAGTACAGTAAGCCTCTGCCTGCGGTGCTGCCATCGCATATGGGCACCAATTGGAAGACCCAACTGCTCTACTTCCAAGCCAACTTCCTGCTAAAGAATGTGGGAAAGCAACAAACCGTGGTCCAAGTGCTTGCCACGCCACATCGGAGACCCAGAAGAAACTTCTGGCGCCTGGCTTCACACCAGCTTAGCTCTGGCTGTTCAGGCCATGTGGGGAGTGAACCAGTGGATGGAAGATCTCTCTGTCTTCCCCCTACCTGTAAATCTGCCTTTCACCTAAAAATAGATAAATCAATCCAAAAATAATAATAATGGTGAGGAGACAACAGACCCACATGGAACAAGTTCCGGGGTAGAGTGGGTCGGGAGAAGGGGAGCGGAGAGGGAAATGCTTCTGTCTTCCATTCTGTGTCTGGGGGAAGGGAGAGAGCACCCCATTGCACTGCCAGTCTTCCTACGATCTGGGGGAGGAGGAAACCGACACTTTAAAATAATTAATTACAGACTTTCTCAAAAACTTCACTTATTATCTCAGGAATGTGACAGAGTCAGACACTTTTTTGTATATATTTATTGATGTATTTCAATGGCAAAGCAGCAAAGATGGAGACAGAAGAATCTTTCTGTCTACTGGTGAGTTCCCCAAATGGCTACCAGAGTAGGTGCTGGGCCAGACTGAGACCAGCTTCCAGGAACTCCATCTGGGTCTCCCCCACAGAGTGGCAAGGACCAGTACTTGCACTGCCACCTGCTGTTGCACAGATATGTCAGTGGTGAGCTGGGTCAGCAAAGAGGGGCTGGGATTCAGACCAGCGCTCAAAAACATGAAGCGCACACCCTAAGCAGTGGTTTTACCCGCTGTGCCACATCACTGGTCCCAGGTCAGAAATACTGAAATACGTATGGTCAGACACTTCTGCCACTCTGGAAAGAGTTCACCCGAGCTCTGTGAGCCTGCCCACTATATACTAGTCACTTAAAATATGCTTACAAGATTTATGCAAGACATTTAAGAGTTTAAAGATAAATTCCAATTCTTTTCAGACTGTCTGAGGAGATCGACGGGAAAGATGCATGTGAAGATCTGTGGCTTAAACAACTATTTGGCCCCGTGGTGTTTAATTGGCGGTGTTTACGAGCCAATCAGGAAAACAGCAAAAAGGGGTCTCGGTTGGGGTCCTGAAGCAATCCCGCTGAAGGAGCCTGACAGATGGACACTAAGCAGATGTTTGCAAGCAGAGTTACAACTTCTCTCCTTGCCTTCAAAGCACTTACACGTGAACTTCAAAGCGAACTTGAACTCTGCCTTGGGATCCTCACATCCACACTTCTAAATAGTTAACTTCACAGACAGTTCAGTAGTTAAGAACAACAGAGAAGGAAATGCTCATCTCTCTTTTTTTTTCCTGTCACTTTTATAAAGGGAAATCTTTCGTTTCAATGATAATGAGAGCCGAAGTACCTGGAATCCCGTCTCCCCTACCCACTCCACCCCCCAGCCTGGTGCTGTGTCCCCCTGCAAGCTTCTCTCACACAGCGAGCCCTGACCCACTTCAAAGACGGGCCATCCTGATGGGCACAGGCCAGAGCCATCACTCCCCTGCGAACGCGAGGCGTCTGTCCTGCCCAACCCTTTCATGTCAGCTCACGTTCCCAGCTACAGAAGCGGCAACGTTTGAGGTGACACTCCATGCACATTGGAACCAGTAACTTTTCATTTCTTTTTCTATTATTTATAGCTTCTTTTACTTTGCAAACCGCACTGGATAGTAAATTACTCCTGGCACGCAGCCCTGTCAGCTTGCCAAATTTCAACTGGAGCAAGTTTTTACAGCCAGGCTAATAAGCTCTGAAAATTAGGAGGTAAGTATAATGGAAATAATGACATGGTCTTTAACTGCAAGGAACACAGAATGACAACACGAGACTCTAATACATTCAGCTTTTCAAAGTGCTTTCAATCTAATGAAATCTTGAAAAATTTTTTGAGGTTATTTTAGTTTAAAACTCATGTTAATGAAAAAGTTTTTGTTTTAATTGGTGAGAAGCACTTTTGTGTT